TGTTCTCCTCCTCCTCAGTGTGTTCTCCTCCTCCTCAGTGTGTGCTCCTCCTGTTTCAGCCCAGCCAGCTGTTCTCCTCCTCCTCCGTGCTCCTCAGTCAGAAGGGGAGCAGCTTTGAGTTCTCCTCCCTGCTGTGCAGCCTGCTGCTCGGCCTCGGCTACGACTCGTACTGCGTCAGCGGCTACGCCGTCAGAGACATGTGTCTTCAGGACCAGAGCCTGGAGACGTGTCCCCTGCTGGACACCGGGGACAAGGTGGGACCTGCAGGAGCTGCTCACCTCCCGCTCAGCTCACAGTTTGAAGCCCGACAGCAGAGAGCTCAGAGCTCTGACCAGGAGCAAACGGACAACAAATACACAGTGAGGAGACCCAGAGAGCTGAGGAGTCGCTTCTTACTCCAGCAGGAGGAGAAGCAGACTGCTGCGGAGGCTCACAGGGACAAACGGCAGGAGGTGAGGGGTTTAAAGACTAAACATCAAATTAACAAAACGCCCCGACGAGTTCCAGGAACGACAACAATGGAGACGTGCTGAAAAATCCAAACGTACGTGGAAATCAGAAATATTTGCAGAAGAACTTGCTGAAAAACAGCTGAAATTATCTAAAAAATGCTGAAATGTAGCTGAAACAGCAGAACAAGTTTCAATTAGCAGAAGAAAGCAGGAAGAACATATTTTGCTGAATTAAGTATAAAGAAGCAGAAATTAGCACAATTTGAGGAAATTAGCTTTAAAAATGCTGAAATAAGCAAAAACAAAAGTAGCTGAAAAGTAGCTAAAAAGGCAGAAAGAAGCACAAACTACCAGAAGGAAGTGTAAGCTGAATTTAGTGCAAAAAATGTGCTATTAGCTTAAAAAGCCAGAAATTTCATTAAAACAGCTAAATTGTAACTGAAATAGCAGAAAAAGCTGAAACTAGCACAAAAAATCTTAAAGGAGCATAACAAGCTGAAATTTGTAGAAGTTAGATAGGCTGAAAGTAGCAGAAAATTTGACAACAAACTTGAACTAATCTAACAGCTTAAATTAGCTAAAGGTAACTGAACCCAATTAGGCTGAAAGAAGCAAAAATTTGCACAAAAAGTGGAAATTATCTGAATTTTTAAAAAAAGTTGCTGAAAAGTAGCTAAAATAGCTGAAATAAAGTTAAATTAGTAGAAGGAAGTGGAGAGAGCACATTTTAACTGAATTAGGCTGAAAAAAGCTGAAATGAGTGCAAGAAATGTGGAATAAGCTGATAAAGCATAAAACAGCTAAGTAGCTGAAATGTCAGAAAAAGCTGAAACTTGCAAAAATAAGCTGAAAGGAGCATAAAAAGCTGAAATTAGCAGAAAGAAGTTAGAAGAACAAAAATGTTGTAGTTAGCAGAAAGAATCTGAAAGGGGCACACAACAGCTGAAAAACAGCTGAAATGAGCTGAAAGAAGCTGAAAGAAGCTGAAAG